GGTCCTTATAATAAGGATCCTGCTGTATTAGGGTACCGTATCAGGGTCCCGTATTCTCGGAAACCCCCAGATAGACCTCCTAATTAATAAACCTTAAACCCTAAACCCTAGACCCTAAACAATAAACCCTAAACCCTGAGCCCTAGACCCTTTAAAGCAGTCGCGGACTTAAACCACAGTGTCACCCGTCACTCGCTCTGGAAGCTTCTAGTTGGTATCTTGAGCGGGATCTTCTCCTAGCTTTATGATGTTTTGGGTTTAGGGTTTTAGGGTTTAGGGCTTTAGGGTTTAGGGTTTAGGGTTTAGGGTTTGGGGTTTGGGGTTTAGGGTTTAGGGTTGGGGGTTAAGTTTAGGGCCCAATCAAGCCCAAAGCGCGACACCCTCAGCCCTAACCCTGCGTTTGGGGCCATGAACAGCCCTGATACACTAAATCTTGCACGGTTTAGGGCTTAGGGCTTGGGGTTTAGGGTTTAGGGCTCAGGGCTTAGGGCTTAGGGCTTAGGGCTTAGGGCTTGGGGTTTAGGTTCACTAAACCTTGCTTAAGAGCTACCAATCGTCACCTCCAGTTGAAGCTGACATGGCGGCTTGCCAGGCATGTTGTGAGCCGACTGCGGGGGTCGAAGTACTTACGAAAAGTATGCCCTTAGGGTCTCTCTGTTATATTTCTAACATTATCTCAAAGCGCTGGGAAGAAAGGCAAGGCATGCGACAACATAGACATTCTCAACAGTTTTTTACAGTTACAGCCAACACGACAGATGAGACCAATAGCAAGCCCACAGCAACGAACCGTTAGAATTCGACCCAGACATCAAACCCGATGGCCCCCAAATCGGTAAGTTAAGACCTAATCCCGTTCTGCCCCAAGGAAAACTGTGATGTAAAGGTCGGAGTACTTACTGTACTACTGTTCCTTGGGGTTCTTTTTTATGCTTAAAGTACGACATACCCCTCAGACTCTTGCTCCAACCACCAACGCCTCTATACTACACCCTTATGGTAACTCTTACAGAAAGCAACTTTTGCAGAGCCCTCTAAAGGAGCACTGTTTTGATTGTCAAGGCTTCTAAATCACGATGTACCCATAGTAAGCTTCACAGCAGCCCTTGCAGCTTCAAAGGAGTCATCTGGAGCCCTATTCTGATGATTATGCCCTATACCCTAAACCCCTAAACTCCTAAACCCTCAACCCCTAAACCCCTAAACTCCTAAACCCTAAACCCCTAAGCCCTAAACCCTAAACCCCAAACCACAGACCCTTAGGATCGAAGCCAACCCGGGATTGCGTTCCCGGTTCCCCACGGTGATCGAGTTCGAGGCCGCGTCTGTTTGCGCCCCTTTTCGGGAGTTGAGGGTTAGGTTTCTTTGGTTTAGGGCTTAGGGTTAGGGTTAAGCGTTTAGGGTTTAAGGTTTAGGCTTCCTTGGTTTAAGGATGTGCCCTTAACCTCGTCAACTTGTGCCCTCAGTATTCTACGGCTTAGGGTTTAGGGTTAGTCTTAGTTCAGCTGACGGTTGTTTGTATGGGAGTCGACTAGCTTGTTGCGGGAACATCAACCAACTAAGTGCTCATAACTGTTGTGACTCCTTCAGGATCATTACTGAGAGACAATCTCAGTGTCTAGGACCCGGTAAAACCCCACCACCATGCTACCTACACCCTAAACCCGAACCCACGTGAGCCACCCTAAACGCCATCGAACATAAACCCAAACCCCAAAACCCTAAAGCCCCCTGAACCACCCGCAAGCTTCCAACCCAAAAGAGCCGAAACTCTATCGTCCCCCTTATGTAGAACCCCTTTCAACTTACGAGCCCCTAAACCCCAAACCCCAAACCCAACTATTATCCTGAAACTATACTTCTTCGGAGCCCCTGCCATCCGTCTTGTGTGGGGCAGGACATCAAAAGGCCGAAAGCAGGAGATCTATCTCCAGGTGGAGGCCGCTTCTGAGAAAGGGGCGAACCGCCGCTGGGAGGATTTTTGGAACGCGCTTGACTTCGTCCGTCTTCAATTGGAGTCACCGCCTCATCAAGGAGTTGAGGCGACAGGATCAACGACCTGTGCGACAAGTTGGGGTTGAGCCGTCAGGAGTTCTCTGCGACTGTGGCCACTCAAAGCGAAAACTCCCGCCACGAGATTGAGGAGCAGGCGCCTGCGGGGCCGGAGCCCGGGGCTGATAGGGTGCAACGTCTCGCAGTAATGTACAGTGCACCGGGAGGGGGGACTCTTCGGACAGTGTTACTTACTGAGTGCCCACTCTCTCTCTCTCTCTCTCTCTCTCTGCTTCTTGCTTTGTTTTGCGTGCTACCCTCAGCAGCAGGGATTGCCGTCTTGTTTGAATCATTCGCTGTTTTAGTCTCATGCTGTGGGTTGGGTTCGGATGGCTTCCCGGAAACCTTTTTGCAGTTCTCCCGCACTTGTAGAACGGTTTAGGGTTTAGGGTTTAGGGTTTAGGGTTTAGTCATGTTTTGCCAACTGCAGCCTCGAATGGACACGTTACAAGCGTGATTGTGGCGGATAGCCCCTAAATCCTAAACCCTAAACCCTAAAAGCCCTGAACCCTGAACCCTAAACCCCTAAACCCTAAAAGCCCTAAGACCTGAACCTCCCTGTCCTCCAAGCGGCAGGCCCGACCAAAGCTCGGGCGCCTGGAGGGAATCGAACCCAGAGCTGGGCAGAAGCCTGGCACGCTTTCATGGGCTCCTTTTTAGGGTTTAGGGTTTAGGGTTTAGTTTAGGGTTTAGGGTTTAGTTTAGGGTTTAGGGTTTAGGGTTTAGGGTTTAGGGGTTTGTTTAGGGTTTAGGGTTGAGGGTATCGGTTTTAGGGTTGAGACTTTAGCGCCCTAGGGCTTCCTTGAAGGGCTCTTTAGTCGGTTTCTTTACCGTCTGATTCATAAGGTTTAGGGTCCCTTAAGGGTTCCTTTAAGGGTTCTCTTATAAGGCACCTTATGATCGCCTGAACCGGTTCAATAATTAGGGCACTTGGGTAGCTGGTTGAACCCTAATGCTGTGCTAGAACCGGCGAGTGGGGCGAGGAGGAGCGAGGCAGAGCAGAAGCTTTAGGGTTTAGGGTTTAGGGTTTAGGGTTTAGGGTTT